TTAAAATATTTTAACAGCAAAAGCACATAGATATAACCTTCTAGGTCAGGGGTGCCCACACTTTTTGAGACAAAGACTTACTTTTTTTTATCATCATCCCACTCAGAGCTAACATATGACACAAAGATATAAATGATATAGTTCATATAGTTGAAAAGCAATGCTACCAAATACAGAGGAATCATATGTTTGAAAATATTAATAAATAATAATAATTTTGCATTTGGCAGACAGAAATAATTCTGATGATTCTAACCAACCTAAAATAAGACATGTTTGGTCTGATCCAATTTAAGGCAGTGGCAATTAAATGTTTATATCTTTTACAGCTGAAACATCTGGACTCAACTGTAAGTTTGATACATTATAGATTTAAACAATTAATTTAGCAGCTCAGTCTGATTTTTCCTCATATACAATGGTCAATTAATCACAACACTGAAGTAAAACTCCTGGATTCATTAAATTAAAAATAGTTTAATAGGAAAAAAATAAATCATTCAAAAACAAGCAAGTTTTCAGAAAACCCTAGATAATGTAATAGCCCTAATAAACACTACAACATCAAACAGTTGCACATTCCCTGATGGAAACCATTTAAAAAGCTCTATAGAGAAACAGCTGCAGATATTCAGACAGCGTTCTTGTTGGCAGGTTTCTTACTTTGGGTCTGATGGTCCATGTTCGTTACTGAAGTATGGGTTTGATCGTTTGGACACGTCACTCTTCATAGAAACACTGATGGATCCTGTGGAACAGCCATGGTTCTGCACTCTGAAACACAAATATGTTGCTGTCTAGATCCCATCAGTTACTGATAAAGAAACTGATGAAAACAAAGGTTGTGTACTTGTGTTGTACAATTTCAGAGGCTTTAAAGACAGAATCGGAAAGTTTTGTAGCATAGAAATGGATTTTGGTTAGAAGTTTCTCACCTTCTGTCTGAGGGTCCATGTTTGAGTTTTGGATCCATTTATCTGAACCAGTCCCCTTTTATTCACCTAGAACTGAATAGTGGAGATACTCCACTGTCCTTCACTTTCTCCAGTCACATTCAGTCATCCAGACTTCAACCTGCCTGAAATATAAACCAGTCCTTTTTAATAAGGTGTTCAAATGAAAGCACTTCATTCTGCTCTGCTGGAACAGACATTAATACATCCAATATATCGGTATATTAAATGGTAACTCAGGGACAACAAAAACTTGAACAGACACAGATAAGCCTGCAAAAAAACAAACAAAAAAAACCACTGTGAAAACCTTTTAAGATGAATTCTGAAATACTGTTGTTAAAAAAAAACACTTTAAGTTAAAACACTTCCATGTTATCCAGTGGGTCCTTGAGGCCCTGTGTCCTTATGGCAGGTAAGGAGTTAAGTGACTTTTGAAGCCATCGGGATCACAGCTACCTGTAATTGCTGCTACATTGTTTTTCTAAAAATCACATTCATTGATATGTTATTTTAGACGATTAAAAAAACAAGTAAAAATGCATCTATAAAGGAATTTACATCAAAAATTACAATATGACCTAAGACTCTGTTGATATAATACAGTTTACATGGCATTAGAATTTTAATTACTTTGTTTGACAATGAAAACCCTTAATAAAATAGTCACATTTGATGCAATGGAATTGTCAGTGTGAATTTTATTATAAAGCACTTTTATTAACTGTACCAAAGTGCTCTGCAGTATTCATAAACCACAGATTAAAAAAAGACATAAGAATAAAACATAGACAGGTAAATTACAATGTCAGGCCTTATGAAAAGCCAAACAATAAAAATTAGTTTTAAGGAGTGAATTATTGTTATTATTAACAACTATGCATTATTACAATACACTGAAATAAATTATTTTTATGATAGGGTTTGTCTTGAATATTGTATTGTGCAACTGAAAAGGATTCAGAGTGCTTCACTTTTCCAATACATTTTGTTAGCCTTATTCCAAATAAGTCTGTAACATTCATTGTATTAAATGAATCTCTTTCCTAAAAATCAAACACACAAATACCCCATTATGATAAAGTGGAAAAAAGGTTTGAGACTTTTTGCTAATTTAATAAAAATATAAAATTACATAACCAGGCTTGACCTCTAGCTGTAATATTGTGTTAAAAATGTTTCTTCTCATAATTAAAAAGAGTCCCGTTATTTTCACATCAGCTGCTACTGGAAGCTGGACAGAAGGAGCACCACCCCTTACTGTGACTCATAAAAATCTTGAAATAAA